TTCGGCGTAACACACCAGCTTCGCAGGCACGCGGCGCGGCGGCAGCTGGCTATATTACACCGATCGACTTGTTACACCTAACCCTTGAACTTCTAGCTCTAGACATTGTTTAAAGCTATCTATTGACAATGCCCCTACTGTACGTGGTGACAGTGAGTTCCACTCTGCGATAGTTCTAGGAAAGAATGAATTCTTGAACACCTCAATCCTTGGTTGATAACTCTGGTACTTGAATGCGTGGCTATTTCTTGTTCTCTTCTGGGCTGGTATTAGGTACTTAGTAGTTGGGACATCCACCAGTTTATTAGTCATTTTGTACATCATGCATAGTCTAGACATCTTTCTTCTGTCTTCCAGTGAGGTCCACTGTAGGTTTCTTTTCATTTCCGTGACACTAGCACCTCTTACATAGTTGTTCATACAGAATCTTGCAGCTTGATTCTGTACCCTTTCCAATTTGTCTTTGTCTTCCTTTGTATATGGATCCCATACTGTCGCAGCGTATTCTAGGTTCGGTCTTACAAGTGACGTGTATGCAAGTGATCAGAATGTCATACTTGGGACATCTGTAAGTTAATCAAAAGTTAACATACATCACGATGCATATATCATGTTAATGCAGAGGTCATTTGCACAATTAAAGAAGAAATTTACATTTACATATCAAGATCATATTTCATGGAGGTATGAGATCTCGGAATTCTAGTTTTGTATTTAAGCACGCTGATGCCAGGTGAGGGTATTCAAGTGTGTTCGAGGCCACGTGGACTGTTCCTAACCTGGCCACGCTTCTGGTGAATGCGCGCCCAGGTCAGGAGCGTCCCCTTGACTCAATTAGAATGGTGGAAAACCTCAATAATATAATGATATAATTGAATTACCCAGAGGTTGACAACGTCCAGTCACCGAACATGTCAGTCAAAAAAAAGGAATATCCTCAACAATACATGAAACATGTGGGACTAGATCTCTTGTGCACTTTTTCAGTCCAGTTGCCAACGATGTTGTCTATAGGGTCATAGACAACATCGTTGTTGACAAGAGGTGGACGCCGCTAAGACGTCCACCTCTTGACTGCCCTCCTCTATGTTGTGCTAGGGACAAGGAAGAACACGCAGCTAGTGGGTCTATCCCAGACCTCATCAATATTACTCACTTGATCTTGCCATTTCCCGAGGGAGAAAAGTCTACCACAGTGCTGACTGTGACTGCGATCACTCTTACAATTATGAAATACATGTAGTACTACAAGCGGGGAACCATGTGGGAACCATCTGAGAACCAGGCGGCGACCTCCGGAATAAGTGCTGCTGGCACCACAGACACTGAGAAATAAATTCAATTCTCTTGTCAATGAACCGGTCGTTACCTGAGTCCGTGGAGTCGCAACGCCATTAAGCTTAGCTGTGTGTCCATTAATTTTTGATAGTTTATTTCAACACCAAAAGCAAACCTTGCAGCAGGGATGAGAATCCCTGAATTGAAAGAGTTTGCGTACAGAAAATAAAAGTTACAATAGGCAAAACAAACACTATATACACACCCTCATATACACTATAATACATAAAGAATTTGTACCAAGCAAAAAACTATAATCTGTTATTACCGCCGACCAATACAAAACCGAGCGAGGGAGAGAGGGGTTCAACTTACACATGCTCTCACTCAACACCAGCTAGGCTGAATATCAGGTAATAGGGAGGAAGAGGTCAAATGCATATTGAAAACAAACATGCTCCTCCATAGAATGTGCATCCCTGAATTGCAATGTTACACTTACGAACGAGGATATTACAACTTCAAGGTACTGGGTATGTCATCACGAAGCCTGGATATTGTCCCGTTAACATCAGAAACAGGTGGGTCGGTGAGTTAAACACTATATTGAACTGTTCTCTACGGAGAATACAGTAATTATGCAATCCGACCAGTGGTAAGTTAAAAGGAGGGAGAACAGTGCTGTTTTTATTTAAGCACTCCACTGTTTGTACATGGAGGGGAGACGAGGTACCCATAATCATGTAAAGGTGCGAACATCGCGACCGTCTGTCGAACACGGTACACGGAATGACAATGCTGGCAAATGTCTCGTTCAGCCGCGAATTGAAGAGCAGGCATCAACCCCTCCGTCTGCAGGGGCGGGATGTATCCCTTTCACCAGGACGATTATTAAGGTATTCCAGTTCTTGGAAAAACTTAACGTAATAACGATAAATTAACCCAACAATGGGTAACCTACGCGTGATAACTCACTCGATGGTGGATGCTCTTTCTGAATAAGAATAGTTTGATAGGGACTATCCCTCACCAGATTATACAATGACTTAACTATGCATCCCCCCAACCAACACACATATATTATACTGTGGGCACACATATAAATACGTTAGTTGACGGTGGGTACTTTCTAAAGATCTAACAGTGATAACTCACAACAGCAAATCGACAAATTACTCAAACGGTGGGCACTGACCGCCATTGATAAACCAATCAGCGGGGGTTATTCTACGCCGGGACGATACATTGCTCCACACGTACAGTTGATGCCCGCCA